TGAATGTTTCTTATTTTGAGATAATTTTTTGTTTTACACTCTATCTAAAAGCTATTTTTGCTTGAAATAAATGTAAAATGGTTCATTTTTAGATATACAGACTAAAAAAGAAAAAAAAGGTAATATATACTTGAAACAAGTCTAATCATCTAACACATGAGACCGGAAACTAGCTTGTAATGTTTAAAACAAGATGGACAAGATAATCTGGCTAAATTTAAGACAATAAATCTTGTCAAGCTACAAGGAATTTGCAGTGTGGGGAGTGGCCAAAAGTGCTGTCTCAGGGTCTCCTGGGGGCGAAACTGTCACTTTTCAGGGTAAGAAAGAGGAGGACTGAGACGGAGAAGGGGAATGGGGGACTACGCATGACGTGCGGTGGCCCGTGCATTTCCAGTAGTCCTCTATCTAACCACCCAGTTGTCGGACGAGGTGGGGAGGGCTCACTGTGTTCTCTTTCACAAATCCTAACCCTCATTTGAAGAACAAGGTACAGGTAAGTGAGAATACAAGATAACAAATATAGAGAGCGAATGAAGGAGAAACAACTATATAACGGTAATAATACTTTAAATTTGCAGAAGCTTGGATAATTATAAGTTAATAAGTGGAATTTGCAAAGTCACGAATATACGTTAGATTTAGATGAACCCAAACAGAGCCTTATTTGCTCTTTAAAATTTAAAATACGGCTCAACAATAAAGTACTTCATTAAATGTGCATGACAATTAACGGTACAACAGGAATGCTTGATCTTAGATGGTTTTATTAAAATTAAGATGAAATGAATAACGTTAGGATTTTACAAAGTCACGGATACTCGTTGGAGTCGGACTGAACCCAACAGGGCCTCATTGGCCCTTTTGAAACTTTAAAAATAAAAACCCAGATAGGCATAAATTAATTAAGGTACTTTTATTAAGTCAGAGACACACTCCAAGGCGTGATCAACCTTGGGAGGGCCTTCCTTGGAAGAGGGTGTCTAGTGATAATGGCCGAAACACCCAATGATTCCAAGGTCCACTACTGATGATGTGTCCTTACAAATTAAATTAAAACAAACAATAACGTTAAACTAATGAGACAATAAAAGGATAATAAAAGAAAAATAAATAAAAAGAAAACGTAACAATAACAATAAATAATAAAAAATTGAAAATGAATAGATAATAAATGACCGTAAAAATTCAGAAAAAAAAACCCAAAAAAAAAAAAACAACAACAAGACATAACTTGGAAATCAAAAATTACACATAAAAACAAAATTAAA